TATTGAAAGAGTGGCCGCCTTCAGCTACCTGGGGATAATGATCGATGATAAGCTTTTATTCAGTGTGCATATTGCTAATCTAGTTAGGAAGTGTAAGGTTAAGATTGGCTTTTATTTTACAAATAAATCTTGTTTTACTTACAGTGATAAGAAAGAATGTGTGTAAACTGCTTTTCTACCTGTAATTGATCATGGCAATATATTATATATGCAGCCTCCTCAATTTTATGAAGCCTTGATTTAGTGTAGCATGCATCCTTATCTTTCATTAGAAATGCAAAGTCTCCTACTCACCACTGTATTCTTTATGGGTTAGTAGGATGGACATCACTGACCCTTAGCAGACAACAACACTGGTATATTTGTATTTATAAAGCAACACTGGGTAAACTTCCAGCTTGTCTTTGCACCATTTTCTGTCTCATCTCTGGTGGTTAATGGCTATGTTCTTCCAGGTGGTTACTTTTTAATGTACCTTGAATTTTTTACAGATCTGGGGAGAAATGGATTTTCCTACTACGCACCTTGGTCATGGAACAACTTGTAGAAAGACCTAAAGTAACACACATTCATATTTATTGTGGAATTTAAGAACATCATAAAGAATACAGTGAAGGGGACATGCAGCTGTTTCTCTTGACAGTCTGTTGTTTTTATCTTGTGAGTGGAATTTTTGTTTATTATGTTATATGTGTTGAATTATAATATGCTGTTAATTTGTATGGCCGCCATCTTGGCCAGGTTCCCTTTGAAAAAGAGATCTTGATCTCAGTGGGACTTCCTGGTGAAATAAAGGCTATAAATAAAAATAAATAAATGAAAAAGACAAATAGTGAATGAGAATTTGATGTTACTGTTAAAACAAACCTGAAGGCTTCAATGACAAAGGAAGAGACAGGCGATGCTCCGACCAGCCCAGGCTGCCAAGACAAGGACACACTGTTCTTGGTGACATCAGTGACCTGAGGTTTAGAAGGTGGGCCTGGAAGCTCATTCTCATCATGGTTCCTCATGACCAACACTCCACCTGATTCTGAATCTAAAGCTGACATGTTGATTTTTTTCATTAAATACATGGAATCATTATGCCATACTGAACCTTTGACTTCTAAGAAAGCACTCCATGATGTTTCACCACTGGAGCTGGTTGCTACACATGTGTAGATCCCAGAGTCTGAAAGCTGGTATACAGCAGAATACACATACATATATGAATAAAAGCAAACACACACACAAACAGCATTGACTCACAGAAGTTTAATGATGCTATAAGTGGCACTTTTAGCGAAAGGACCATTTTTATGGGCAGTAGCAATGACTGAATACTTATGATCATCCAATTGCTGAAACGATGAAAAACGATGGGGCGACTTTGTGTTGACCAAATCGTGTATCCTTTGTGAATGCCTCAAAGTGCTGACGCTAATTTCCTAATGAATTCCATTTTCTACTCACCACCCTTCCATCACTTTCCCACTCTTCCCCTTTATTTCCCCACTGTCCTGCAGACCACAATAAAGCCAGGGCAATTAATTTAGGGTGGGCTCCTGGAACCCCCTGGACCGATGACAGCTGGCTTGTCTCTCCGTCCCTTTTAGGAACTTTGGTTGGTTGTTGGTTTTTGTCCCTGTGCCTTCCCTCCATTTATTAAATAACATGTCAGCTTTGTCAAGCTTAATGGATATTCCACTGAGGCCTCTGTGTGGGGAAAGGACAATGAGAGCCTTTTAAATTTAATCTGCTCTAAATGTGTATGTGTGTACATGTAAGTGCATACATGTTTCTATCCAACAGCTGGAGCCCATCCAGCCCTGCACAGCTGAGCCTTGTCAAAGTTGTTGTACCTTTAAATGATACTATTAAACAATTAAAAAAATAATTCTGCTTCTTCATCCCTTTAAGGCATTATTAAAACTGATAAGAGCAATACAATCTCTTACCTTGATGTTTTTGATCTGCAGGCTGCCCAACTCCTCCAGAGACATGCGGGAGTCCTTTCCCAGCAGACTGACCCCGTCCTTTAACCAGCTGATGGAGGGGATGGGGTCTCCTGATGCCTGGCACTTCAACAATGCCACACTGTCCACCCCAAGAGTCTGATTGGATGGGCCTTGGCGAATGATGGGAGGTGGTCTGTCTGTGAGCACTGCGTTACAAAAACAACACTGTGATACATTGTCCATATCATTCTGAAATTCAGATGAATGATGGTGTTCACATAAGGCAGCGCTGATCAGAAGATGCACTGGGGGTGGATGTCTATCATAAAAAAGACTGTTTTTTCTGCAGGTCTTGTAATTGCACCACAGAACAATGACCACGTCCTGTATTGCCAGGAAGCAGGGGAAAATGCTGAGTAGGGCTTTCTAGTTTCACTGATGTGGCAGAGAAATGCTAAGCTGTTCCAGTTACTGGTTTATTTTTAAACACAACTCTGGATTCTGTGGTACAGTTTGGTGGTGAGACTCTTGCCTATTGACTCAGTGTGGTTCAGATAAATACATCAATGTGGGGCACAATAAAAGGTGAATTTCAGATGTTACTGAAACACCTCATGATACTTGTTTGGGCTGTAAACCATGAGAAATCTTAAGATGAGAGACAAAAGTTTTACATTTTGTACTAGTTTCACTCTAGATTAATGCTAATGCTGTGGTGAATCCCATTTACATGAGAAAAGTCATTTGTTATAATGTGAAAAAAAAATGTCAGAGGTGACCTCAGAATGAGTTAGCACTGTAGCACACGTGCAGTTTATATATTTAGGGTTGAATAATACGGAGTCCCCCCGGCATCACCGTACCCACATTAATTAGAAGGTATGGATTAACGATGTCAGACCTGCAGGGGCCAATTAACAAGTCTACCTCAGTAACCTTTCAACATATTATCACACCCTGAATTCCACCCCTATTTTCTCACTAGCAGCTGCATCTGACAAAAGGAAATGATTCCAAGCAACACACTTCGGCTGTGTTATGGTCACCCCTTGCTTTGGGTCTCCTAAGACAGAAAGAGAAAGAACTGTGCAGAAACCTAAAATATTAGATACCACAACCAAATTTCAATAATAATATTTCACTTATTTTTTGGATTCTCTGGAATGTTTATATTAACATAGTTATATGAATAAAAAGTGGTAAAGCAAGTCATAGACTAAGCTGTAAGAGGATTCAGAGCACATGCTACTAGCCAGGGATTATTTATGATGTCTTATCTTAGAAACACCCCCAGCGAGCTTTTTGTTTGCCACAGTTTTGACCTACAATATAGACTAACACCAACATTAGGAGCTCCTTAATTTCACTACTTCATACAGTATCCTGAATTATAATGTGCATCATAATGGGTGTTTTTAATCTAGTTCATTACTCCATCATGTTTCTTAAGAAAATACAGATAGAAAGCTAGTTTAGACAGACAAGAGTGAGTGGTCCAGGGTTTGAGGCAGCTGATGTATGTGTCACTGGAATGTAGGAGTGACAGAGAGAGGAGGCAAGGCTCGACTGTGGCCTTGGGTCTCTGGCTTAGGAATTTCTCATTACAAATCTCCTTGAACTACACAGGTTGTTGTCGGGGATGGGGACAGTAAATCACAAAAAGACTGCAGCAGGTGTGGCCATGACCTCACCCTTGGCCTTCCGCTACCTTTTTTTCTTAGACCTGCCGAACAACAACTTGTTACAAGCCTTTGGTCCTTTCGGTTACCAAACCAACTAAAAGGACTAATTGCTAATCAGCCATTTGGCTGTAAATGTGTTGTTGTATCATTTCAGACATCCATCCATCCATTCACTTTCCTCTGCTTATCCGGGACCGGGTCGCGGGGGCAGCAGTCTAAGCAAAGATGCCCAGACTTCCCTCTCTCCAGACACTTCCTCCAGCTCCTCCGGGAGAATGCCAAGGCGTTCCCAGGCCAGCCGAGAGAAATAGTCCCTCCAGCGTGTCCTGGCTCCTCCCTGGGGCCTCCACCCGGTGGGACATGCCCGGAACACCTCCCTAGGAAGGCGCCCAGGAGGCATCCGAAACAGATGCCCGAGCCACCTCAGCTGGCTCCTCTCGATGTGGAGGAGCAGCGGTTCTACTCTGAGCTCCTCCCGGGTGACCGAGCTCCTCACCCTATCTCTAAGGGTGCGCCCGGCCGCACTGCGGAGAAAGCTCATTTTGGCCGCCTGTATCCGGGATCTTGCCCTTTCGGTCATGACCCAAAGTTCATGACCATAGGTGAGAGTCGGAACGTAGATTGACCAGTAAATCGAGAGCTTCGCCTTACAGCTCAGCTCCTTCTTCACCACGACGGACCGGTACATCGACCGCATTAGTCAAGAAGTTTCTCGGTGGTAAGGCACCGGGGGTGGATGAGATCCGCCCTGAGTACCTTAAATCTCTGGATGTTGTTGGGCTGTCTTGGTTGACACGCCTCTGCAACGTCGCATGGCGGTCGGGGACAGTGCCTCTGGACTGGCAAACCGGGGTGGTGGTCCCTCTCAAGAAGGAGGACCGGAGGGTGTGTTCCAACTATAGGGGGATCACACTCCTCAGCCTCCCTGGGAAAGTCTATGCCAGGGTACTGGAGAGGAGAATTCGACCAATAGTCGAACCTCGGATTCAGGAGGAACAATGCGGTTTTCATCCTGGCCGTGGAACACAGGACCAGCTCTATACCCTCTTCAGGGTGACGGAAGGTTCATGGGAGTTTGCCCAACCAGTCCACATGTGTTTCGTGGATCTGGAGAAGGCATTCGACCGTGTCCCTCGCAGCGCCCTGTGGGGGGGTGCTCCGGGAGTACGGGGTCCGGGGCCCTTTGCTAAGGGCGCAGCCAGGGGCCGGAGGGAGTCCGGTTTGGGGACCACAGGATCTCGTCTCTGCTTTTTGCAGACGACGTTGTCCTGTTGGCCCCATCAAACCAGGACCTCCAGCGTGCACTGGGGCGATTTGCAGCCGAGTGTGAAGCGGCTGGGATGAGAATCAGCACCTCCAAATCCGAGGCCATGGTTCTCAGTCGGAAATGGGTGGCTTGTTCCCTTCAGGTTGGTGGAGACTTCCTGCCTCAAGTGGAGGAGTTCAAGTATCTTGGGGTCTTGTTCACGAGTGAGGGAAGGATGGAACGGGAGATTGACATTTCAGGCATTTGAAGTACAATTTTGTTCCTGTATCAAGCAAAATGTAAAGAAAAAAGTGTTCTTGCTTTTTGTTCATGTGGTGCTTTTAATCTTCCTAACTACACGATAGCTGGTACTTCATCACACATATGGATGGCTGTCTATCTCACCCCCACTACAGCCGAGCAGATTAGATGCTCCGACACCTCGCAGGACCACACAATTCATTCTACCATGGTCCCTCACTCACTCAGTCATGCCTCCTCTCCTTCTGCCTCTTTCTCTAGCTTCCTCCCTCATACACATACTTGTGCATCTCACCCACTCACCTAAAACACTGATCATTAAACCTGAAGGAACTCAAGGACAATGCTTTCTTTCCTTTCCAAAAGGAAAAGTAGAACATTTTAATTAAATTGTGCCAGGAACAAATGAAACAAAGTGTAGAGCAAACTGAAGCAACTCAAGGTCATGGACATACTGGCATTTCTCAAACCAAAGCTGAATTTATTCTTGCACATGGAATAACAAACATTTAATGTATACATTTTTTTTGTATTGTATACTTTCAAAGGTGTTAAAGCTTAAATTTTTAACTCAACACAACAAGAAAGTTGTTGCAGTTAAATAACGACAAACTGAAATCAGATCATTAATGTCTAAATTTGTTTGCTGTGGGGTAAATGTCTAAATTCATGTGGGAGAGAATCAAACATGCATATTAATTCTACATCTGCATTTATATGCACCAGCTCCACCACTTTTGCTGTGGTGCTAAGGCATGTGCTAGTGTGCTGTAGTGTGCTGGCAGGGAAGAAGTTGAGTGTCAGTTTGTCCTCACCATCTGTGACCTCCAGTTGAGCCTTGGCGAGGATACTGCCTGCCACGGTCAGGGCCTGGCAGATATAGTAACCAGCATCTGCCCGCTGCACAGATGAGATGGTGAGGTCTCCGCTGGGCGACACTGAGAAGCGACTGTTAGGCTGCTGGGGTTGGTTGGGAAAAAGCAAATTCTGTAGGAAGAAAAACAAACAGCCAATTAGTGAGAACATGGAACCAATACAACCTGGAAAAATTACAAAATGTTCACACACCCACCAGCCAAACACACACATGTACTGTGCACAGTACTCATACAGTGGGCAGTCTATTACAGCTATAGTATAAACCATTTCATCTATCACTTGGTTACCCAACCGCACAAAGTGAACAACATGTATACACTTTGATGTTTTGCTTTCATACTTATACTTGGGTCAAGCCCGAGGCTCCACTGTGTTATAAAAGGTACTTTTGCTCTTGTTGGCTTCACAAGAACTTTCCTTTCTGCTTTAGTTTCACAGTGGTTTTGAGCTGCCTTTAGCCACAGACACCACCCCAGACAAGTTGAACTGGTACTGAATATTGTGCAGTTTACCTTTAAGATTGCTACAGCTCACTAAATAGCAAAGTTAATTTTCTTTAAGTTTGCATTTTAACATTTTATGTTGCATTTAATGCTTTATGTAAAGCACAATTACTTTTATGAATGAAATGTGCCATATAAATAACTTGTCTTGTCTAAAGAGGAATGGATAATCAAGGCAAGGCAACTTTTTTTATGTAACACATTTCATACACAGAGGCAAGGAAAAACAGCAACAGCATTAAAAACACTAAGCATTAATCTATCCTACTACTCTATTTCAGAGTAAACACAGAATCAGAGAACTGATTATGCATGACTAAACATCACCCCCACTTTTTTGAATAGCTATTCTGTCACCTCTTTGTATTCCTTTTACATATCAGCAAATGCACCAACTAGATTGAATTACACCTAATCACTTTAATGCAACAAATTATGTTGTTTTTAAAATTAGGCTCTGCATCTACATGATCCTCAAGTGTGAGACAAAGGCCTTTCTGTCATGTAATAATTACAAGTGCTGTCACACCTTTTATACTGTATGCTAGTGTGAGTGAGACAGAGAAAGCACTGATAAATACAAGAACAGAAGGCAGAGACGGCTAGGACATGCAAGTGCCTGTACAAAAGTGTTTGTCCTGCATTCATTTCAAAAGCCTCATCTTTAATGACAATGTGAGACACATGTCAGATATAAAGTTCACAAGTCGGATACAAGTTCACAAAATTACTCAGTGTTTATGAATCATATGCTTTAGGTCACACATTGCTAAGTGGTAAAATGGGTGAGTATTAGACCAAATGCTTGTGTGAACCTAAAAGCAAGTGTATCACTTTTTTTCACTCTTTCATGTGAACTTTGGTGTAAGTGTTGGTCTGTGGGCTATGCCTGTGTGTGCATGTGTGTTTGAACTTTAGCCAGAGCTGAATCATATCTCTGGCTTATCTACAAGTCTCAACAGGCTCCTAATTTGCACTGTTGTTGAGCGTTGCGAGGACACCCAGGTATTTGAATGGGTAATCTGCTTGAGTGAGGGATAGGATCGTTCTTATCAGTGCAGGGTCACCGGAAACCGATTAGCACTTTGCTAGGCGCACTGTCGTTTGGCAGCTCCTGAAAACAAAGGTGTATCTGTGTGTCTACAGTGAAGATACTGATGACAGATAGTGTAGCTTGAAGTGCTGTGTGTGTGTGTGTGTGTGTGTGTCTGTGTGCAGGGCAGGTGAATCATAAGTGCTCAGCAATTTTGCCCATAGCAAACAGAATCTAAAGTGCTGAGTGTTGATAAGACCAGATGTACAGCAGATAATTAAAGGTGCCTACTAAGGGTGTAATATACAGTATGTTCATTTAAAAAACTATGCAAAAAAGATAAAAATGTTTCCCCACAGTGGGTTGTGTGAGATTGTCTGTTCTTACCTGACTTCCCTCCTTCTGCCAGAAGACAGCAGGCTGGGGGTTCCCCTTGGTTTCACATGGGAAGGTGGCAGTGCGGCCTTGAGCCACAATTTGGTCCCTCGGACGGATGACAAACTGGGGCGCAGCTGAAGTCAAAGGGTAAAAACATCAGTGTTAGTAAACTGGAGGGACATAATGAGGCCAAACATCAGGGCTGGAGATCATCAGGGCATCAAGCATCAAGCAGTATACCACATGGTCAAATCAAAATGGGAGTGCTGTACAGAGCTTCCATGCAGAATTATATCTGTCTGTTGCTCTCTAATGGCTTTGAACAAAGGAAGAACACCAACGACCATCACTTCCATGGTAACCAGGTTGGCCATTCATCCAGGTGAGGCTAAGGCTGAATGAATGACAGTCACATTGGCATTCACACAAGGAAGTGCCTCAGTCACAATGGAATTTAGATCAGAGACAACACAAAGGCACGCCCATGCCTTGAAAACATCCAAAACAGGTACACACATACAGGGTTAATCATGTCTGACTTTCCATATGGAAGATTTTGTCTGCATCAAAATGCATCACATATAAAAGTCAAGAAGTGGAGTGGCTCAGAACTTCTGATCAAAGTTGCATCAAAAGAGAGAGCGAGACAGAAAATACTTTTTCTGTTTACCACACTTCAAGCTAACACCTCTCCATCAAAGAGGGACGAGGCTTAAAAGGCTATCAAACTTTGAAATCATGGTGTGAAGCTTTCTCAGTCAATATTCATGACTCCATCAGGAGCCAGACCAGTTGTCACACACTTGCGGTCAGGACAGAGTGAGACATTTCTGACTGACAACTTGACAGATGCAGTTCAATATTAAATAGAGAGGGGTGCGGAGATTAGATACAACCTATTTTGGTGTGCAGTGTCGCTTCTCTTCACTGAACATTCCCTGATGGCAGGTTATGGAGGCATGGATTCAAACCATTACTTGTTCAAGTGATATCTATCATGATTTTTCATGGGGCACTTAATAAGCAGTGGCTGATGAATTAGAGTGCATAGCTGGAATAATAACAGAATTTTAAGTTTCAGTGCTCACAGCAAACTATCACTTAACACAAACAGAGGGTTTTGCTGGTATTTCAAATGTCAATTTAAAATTCCCCCTTTTCATCACAAAAAAGCAAAAAGTACAGTGCTGCATTTAAATGATGCAGCATGGCAGCAAAAGAGAACGTCATACAGTATTCCATCCTAATGAACTCCCCGTCATCTGTACATCACTGCTGCCATATGTTAATCATAAGTACTAGAGAATATTGCCACAGTTATGTCAGCTGCTAAAACACATGTCTGAAAGGGTCTAAAGTCTGATCTGAAATAATTTAGTGCATGACCCTTCTTGTTTATTCTATAACTGCCACTGGGGTTCTTGTGTTGACAAGTACCATGTTTGCCAAGATAAGACATCAATGACCCATTTCTTACAGGAGGAAATATAGTCCTTGCAGAGATAACAAGAGTCAACAAATTAAAAGGTTCTCACCACAACCTCAAGTAAGTGCAGACGGTGGGTGGAACAGGCCATTATTTTTTGACAAACAAAATGAAAGACTGAAACATTTCTACACGCTGCTGAAACATGTCTTCTATGACAAAAACTATGACAAGATGTTGCAATGCAGCATCTTGCATCCTTTCTGTTTCTTTTGATTTCTTTGTTCATGTAAGTCCTTTCACTGACAAGCCAGCTGGTTCCAGTAAGGCCAAACTCTTCCCATTTGGCTAGTTTGTCCATGTAATCCCATTTTGGGGGATGTGTATTTGTCAAAGATACACACAGTTGGGAATGGTACAGATGGCTACAGATTTACTGCCTTCCCGTTTAGCCTTCTGCAGCCTGGATATCTTGTGGCTCCCCCAATGCTGGGCCTGATACAGATCTCCTAAATCATGTTCTGGCAAGGTCTCAGTTACCTCCCTTCTCTTCCCGTGTTCTGTTCCATACCACACACCACATTACTAAGTACTCACAAAAAATATGGGCTATCACCTCACAGACTGGTCATTATCACTGTGCCGCCCGGTCTTGTCCTTTCTCACACTCATGGCAATACTTTCAATCTCTCTTTCTATCTTTTACATTTAATGATGAACATAACTGTGGGAAACACTGTATGCTGTGGATGTGTTTAAAAACGGAGAGCGAGGCTAACAGAGCAGCACAGATCAAAAACTCAGGCAAATCAAGAGGAAGTCAGTGTGTGGCAGTTTCATAGCTTGGCTCACACTGGCTATGTTTTGATTCAGAGACCCTTAATATCTTGAGAGAGGCTCCTTCCTGTCCCCTCCTATGGAAAGGCATGATTGAGTGCCCATATTTAATTCATGACAAGTCACATCTGCCTAGTTTGGAGAGGGTTCAGCATAAAACAGCAGTCATGGTGAAAAGAACAAACGGACAAAGAGACAGACATCTATTCAGTACACCCAGGCACACAAACTCAGAAGCATTTCTTCTTGCTTTAAAATCTCACATTCAATAATATTTTATTCAGAAGTCGACAGCAATTACTGTCTCTTCCCACAGGCGGAGTGAATGTGTAATTTCCTCCATCTTCGTGGAAGCTGACAGTTTGACAACTGTAGAGCAGCCACTGCTGTTTTGGCAACCAAAGTCCTACCACCGAGACAGTGTCTGGCTTTTTCTGCCAGTCAAGCCTGCCTTGACACCCATTTTTGCCATTCGTTGCCTCCTTCTCCTTTGTCTTGCCTCCTTCCCGTATTCCTCATGTTTCTACTCTCAAAAAACATGCCTTTCTCTCCAAGAGCCCATTTTCACCACTGCCTCCATTATCTTTTTAATTTAACATCTTAAGTGTATCAAATGTGGTTCTGCCTTGACCTTTTCCCTATCTACGGTGAAATTAAATGAGATTCCCCAGTCTGTGTTGAGTGGCTCAGAAGGGAAGAAGCTCATCCAAAGCAAACAGACTCCAGCTTTGTGTTCCAAAAATTCACAGATGGCCTCAAGACATGGAAGTTAAACACGTCTTGGACCATATGAGATGACAATGTCTGAGACCATCAGACAGCCAGGGCACTTACTGATCGCAGTGGTCTAAAATCTATACAGCCTTCAGTTTAGAGCTCTGCTGGAAACAGAAAGTCTACCTTACTATACTTTATAAATCTATGAATCCTTCACACATTCCATCAGCCATAGACTAAGTAATGACTTCTGAAAAATGAGCCTGGACAAACGTCTCCATGACAACATGTTGATGTTATTATGAAACTGCTTTTATTACAAAGGTATAGAATCCAGCTATATACTGTAAACCGTGATTAAGTTTGTTGATGTTTTGACATAAATTCTATGTATTTAACTGCTTATGTTCCAAATAGACATGAATACTCAGCACAAATAAAAGCCATGCTAAAGTGACCTCTTGTGCATCATATTTAATGAACAGAAAGACCTGGTGTAACAGGACAGTGTTTTGTTAGGAATCCAGACAGATAGAAGTATAAATCTCCACAAACTACATAAAGAGTTTGCAAACAATATTTGTAATGGTAGACAAACCTGTGTTAATCAAAATCAGTCATGTTAAAGCAATGGTAGTTGATTGTCAAGCAGTCAAGAGCAGTAGTGTGGATGAAGAGGGCATGCATGATGGAATCAAATCAGAAGGATGGGTACTTACCAACAGGGCGAGCTGGAGACACAACAATGGAGGAGTGGATACACAAAAGAAACAAATTAAGGCACAGACATACAAACATATAAAACAACAGAAGAGGAAAGGAACAAACATAAAATAAGACAAAATAAAAAAAAAACAAAGTCAGAATGAATGACATGTTGGGTTGGGGCCAACATATTTGTGGCACAGGAATACATGACAGAGAGGATCCAATGGAGCTTTTGTCCACTGTCCACCCGACAGTTTGATTGATAAGCCTCTGATTCTCAGACCCCTGAATGATAAAGGCAGTTTTGTATGAGCGATCAATTCCTGTGGGGACAACCACTTCTGCTCTTCAGAGACAAATATGTTCCTGGACCTTCTCTGTCAGCATTAATGAAATCTACATTTCTATGGGTGGTGTGTGTTTGTAATAGAAAGGTGAAGGTGTGTTTGTCATTAGTGCTGATGGACAGAGCAGAAAAAAGAGAGCAAGAGAAAGCGAGAGCGCAAACAAGATTTCCAAGGCTATGTAAAGGCAGCACATGGGTTATATCCAGAGACTGAAGCTCCTGAAATCCCCACAGTCTATTCAGATGAGTTGCTGCAGGTAGTGGTTCCCCCAGTGTTTCATCTGTGTTATTGTATGTGTCTTCACTGTCAAGTAAAACATTAGTTACAGCTTTAAATAACAGCTTCTAAAGGAGTAAAAAGAGAAGTGAGCCCAGGTCTTCTACCTCCCCTTGGCCCCATGTGTTGCTCTAAAGTGCTCCACAGGGACGTCAAACACTTGGTTTTAATGGGAAGAAGAGTGATGAAAAGAAGGAAAACTATGGTCAGAATGTTTTTATTAACCTTCCAAATCAACAGTGTGGGACTGGCAATGTGCACCAGTAAACTGTGAAATAGCTTTGCTGACTGGGTGGTTACAGCGCGGACGGCAGCGTGGCTAGCAGACCATCATGACGAGAGGAGGGTAGCAGAGTGTGTCGACGCTGCACTTGGAAATGTAAATAATTAAACAGATTCATAGACTTTCTACATCTCTCTTGGCTGTGTGAGTCAGCATTCTGGATTTCCATTTGTCTAACATAGACCCTATGAAGCAAACTGCCAATCTAAATCTCATATTAGTCTACAAGTACAAAAACCTCAGCAGGTCATGACTTCTCATAGTGTTGTTCTTTGTGACCTAATGTGAAAAAGGCAACAATGGTGCTTCGTACCTCTGACTGTGAGCGTGGCAGAAGCCTCCAGCTTTCCCACACGGTTTTCTGCCACACAGGTGAACATGCCTTCATCATTGACGGAAGCCTTCTTCACTCTCAGCACGTAGCCTTCCTTGTCATACCTGATCTCATACCTGTCAACACAGATGTAACATCATGAAATTCAAGCTGCCTGTTCGGTATTAAATGAAAATAATATAAATTCAGGTAAAACATTAACTCCATGACAAATTAGATGTGCTTCTTTGTTTGATCCACGCTTGTCGAGTTGTCTGGCAGCAGCCGTGAAGAGTATTTGTTCTCAAAGAGGTACAGAGAAGCACAACTGTTTGTTCTGACAAATGAAGATTACAAGGGGGAGCATCAATTATTCAACAATGATACACAGTACACAGAGAGGTGTGTGCTCAGTTGGAACCCTCAAAACTTCAATATTCATGAGATGTTTCTCACTATGTGTATGTGTGTGTTCACGTGTGTAACTGTGTGTCTAATATACATGAACGACTATGCAGCTGCAATGAGTCTATATAGAGCTACACCTTCTCACTGTAAACCAAACTGACTCAGCCAGTACAGTAGGTGGACTACATACTACATAGCTATTTTTTCTTTATGTGTGTTTGCAGATGCCTGTATGTGTGACTACACCTGTATCAACTGTATGGTGGTTGACAAGTGAATGATGCTGTTCTCATTTCTTGCTCTAGTCTCTAATTGAAGGGGTTGTTGGCCTGGCAGTATGTAAGGAGTGCGCTGGTGGGGGTGGTGAGGCTGCGTGACGGTGGTCTGTCAGCCTGACAACCTTCTGTTGTTCACAATCTGTCACTCACAGACAGTGAGAACAGAGTTGAGATGAGCAGATAAAGGGCCACTGTATTAGAGCTTGACACAGTGTTGCCACTTAAGAGCCCCGATGTAGAATTTCTATAGGATTATTAATATTTAAAGTATTAGGTTGTAGAAAAATGAGACTGTCCTGGTGATAACGGTGCAACTGATGTGTTGCCTTCCCTTCATGCAGTGTAGTCAGCCACAAGTGTCTTTTTTGATACCGCCACTTGGAGTCCCCCAAGTCAGACTTATTTAAATTCACATAGGAGCATTAAAGAAAACAGCCTGAATCATTTTTATTATAACCTCTGTGCCATAAAACCCCAAACTTGTAGTCCAACAACTATTAAAACCATAAAACACCAAGAGCAGTGATGTCTGCCCAACACAGAGCTTACCCCTCAAAGACTGAAAATGCAGTCACAAAGTTGTTTCAGAAGGAAAAATTGTAGTGATCTGCATGTCCACGCCTGTGCAGTACGCCTGATGTATCACACTCGTAGAGAAGGGGCTGGCATGCAGACTACCCCAAATTACACCCCCCATGTCTCTATCAGAAGGGAGAAAGAAGAGAAGCCTTCTGCATGTCTTTCATCACTGTTACTGTTAGCTTATCCTGCCAGAATGGTGTGTAAGTGAGAGAGAGAGCGAGAGAGAGTAACAACATATAATAATACACGCATAATAAATGTTATTTAGCAGAGGGTTTTTTCAAATTTAGGATTAATGTTACTAGCTATAGCCACTGAAGTTACCATTAAAAAATCATTATCAGTTGAAGTGTACTCTATATTTCAATTATTTACACCACTTTATTTTGCCATCAGACAGCCCTTTCCAACAGGGAACTCAAGCCATTATATCACTCTTTTCAGAGCCACCAGAGTCCACTGACAAAAACAATAATTTTACCTTGCACAGCACAGGAGCTGCTGATCTACCACTGCTGTTTTGTCAAAACTAAAGTTTTATCAAATACAGTACGCCTGGAGCCTTTGAAGAGAGCATAGATGGATACAACAGGTTCCTCATTAAAAAGGCCCATCTGACTGCAAGATAATGCGATGAAAGTATCATAATATATTAAGATAATCATCTTACATACAGTATCTGTGCCTGCGTGCTCTCAAATTGCAACTTACAAACTGAATACCACTTGGAACTTGTTTTGTGCACCTTCAAGCCTTTTGGCACTGACAGATTTTCACATAAAACCCCAGGGAGAAATCTGAGAGCGCAGATTCAAAAATGAGCGAACGCATGGCTGGGATTACGCTCTCAAATTTGATTCTGCACTTACAAATCTGTGTCTGCATACTCTCAAAAGTTGTTACAAAATGAGTAATACCCGAAGTGTGGTTTGTGCACCGTCAAACATTTTGTCTTGAATTCACTTCCATAGTAACCAGAGTTCCCGGGGAATACATCTCATATCTTGTTAAGAGGTCAAACATAAACTAATTTTCAGGGCCCCATTGATTGACATAACTGTCGGCTGGATGCATAACAACAAGTCTTAAAAACAAGAGCCCTGGGACACAGACTCTGGGGGAACATTTTGGTGCTGTGGACTTTTTTGTGAGCACTTTCACAACTAATCAAATTTTGTGTTATTTCTGCTTGTGTTTATTATTGTGTCCTGGTTGTGGGAATTTGATTGATCAGTTTTTTTTTTGTTTTTTTTTTTTACATCTGTAAAGAACCTTTGTAAACTTTACTAACACTTACCCACCTGAAGCTCTTTTCAGGCGGAGCTCTGACTGGCACCCCACTTTGAAACAATAGTAAACCGCTACAAACCACAGCAAATACAGAAATATGTCACTGAATACAATAGCATGATTCTATTGTGTATTTCACTGCTTCAGGACAACAATAGAGCTCTATGGCAGAGACCACCAACAAACCATGGTTTACAGCTTGAAGTACTTTAGAGTAGCTGTATGCTGTGGTCCATTTCCCTGGGAATGGGAAAGACCCCTCTGCTCGACCATCAAGTGTTCTGATGGCTGGCAGCCAAAACTAATCTGTCCTATCCATGTCTTGTTTTTTTTTTCACCTGCTGTTATGACATTTCTTGAGCAAGCATTCAAAGGCAGCTTTATTGAAGCACATTCCTCAACTCTGACTGCCAGTCCCACCTCTCTACACAGGTACTAAAGGAGCCATAATGATTATTTGACTGAGTCATGACTGAATGCTTTGTTCTAGAGAGAGGGGATGTACAGTTCAAGTAATGGTGGGGGATGTGAATAAAAGCATTTAATGTTGAATCTGAGTGAATGGCATGCAAAAGAATGAGACAACACCCTTTTTGGACAAACCGACTGTAAGATGAAACACAAACAAGTTAATAGAAAGAGCTTTCTCCATTACCCTGGCCTTCGACTAGTATGGGTATGTAAACTCCTGACTGGCAAGAGGAGGTGGAGATGAGAAAAAAAGTGACAAGGACATGTTAGGACTTGGAGAACACATCACCACGACTCCCTAACAAACTATAATGAGAATGAGTGAGCAACGTGTTCCTAGCACTCTCAAGGAAGCTACGCTAAACTAGCTTTGTGTCAACAAATAAGGAAAGCAAAGTTTTACTTCAGACATGACTAGAATCCTATTTTTGCAATATTTTACTGACTTATCTCATGTCCAGTCTAATTGCATTGGTCAAAATATGCATGGCTTTCCAGGTTTTTAACTCCAGACCCAAGAGTAAAGTGTTACCTTTTTTATGAGATTCAGAAGCAGCACAGATGATCTACAGCAGTCTTTCCATTAAAATAATCTAAAAACAAGACTAAAAGTTTAGAGCCATACTAGTGACTATGTGAGGCTGTATGCAGTGTTTAGTACTAACTAGAAATAGTGGTATCCTAACATGCTCACAATGACAATGTTGACATGCTAATGTTAAGCAGGTGCAAGGATTACCATTCACATCTTGGCATGTTATATTTGCTAATTAGCACTAATCACAAGTACAACTAAGCCTAATGGGAATGTCATTACTTTTGCAAACATTTTGTCATAAATCAAAAGTATAGGATAAACTGAAATTTCTGACCTGATGCTGGCCCAAGATTAAAAATCCACAGTTCACCAGAGTCACTAGGATTCATCCTCTTAGCACCATGGATGTCTATCAAATTATCATGGTAATAGTTGTTGAAGCATGTCACATCAATCTTATGGTGGCACAAGAGATAAAATCAGAGGCTTACCAAAAAAAGATACTTGGCAAAAATTTCCTCCGAGTAGAACAAAGCATGATATTGTTAGCTGGTTCAGTGCTACCTAGCAAGCGGCAAAGTTACCTAATACTGTAGTTTTTAGATGAATGGATAACTGAACAAGTAACAGGGAAGATTTTAAAGACAGCCTTAGGACAATACGGTATATGCTTTCACCTCAATTCTGCGCTTTCACTTTATAAAAACAACCATGACATCTACAAATATTATTATCACTGACAGAAACACAAACAGTACCGGTCCCCACATCCTGACATGTGCATGACCAAGGCCTGGCAGTGTGGTCAGTACATGTATGCACAAGTTGTACAGCATATTTACTGTTCTTGGTCTCATATTCATCAATCTCTCAAAACAGAACCTCAGGCTGGTGTATGACTTATTAGAGGAAAACATGAGCCCAATCAATCTGTAATCAACTTCCTATGAATCAGCCCAGATAATGATGAGTGTAAAAAAAAAAAAAAGAAAAACTAGGGATGAGGTAGTTGTGGCTGCACACACATGTATACACAGGAAGGGAACAGTAGCTCTTTATTGTGACTGGATTTCAGTAGAGCTCCGTTTTCTATTAGAGTAGAAAGCCTCTCTCCTTTTGAACTAAAGAAGATATACGGTACATACACACACACACACACACTTACAGAGAAAATCAAGTGTACAGTCATCCAACACAAAGCCATACATGTGCAGAGTCATTCATTCAAGCAGCGAGATGTGGAGTGATGGGAATGTAAGCAAATGCCAAGACAAAGCAGCACCTTTGGGGGCTGTCAACTTACTGTTTGCGCTGCATGGAGAAGGGTGAACTGAGATGAAAACTTCACTGGATACATTTTCAAAGCATTACATCTCAAAAACACTCCAGATTATCACAGAAGATTTGCCTTTAAACTGTCTGTCAGGAACATAGTCACCTGTGTTCCATCTTGAGACTTGTGCCAATTTACTCGCATAAAGAGAATCTTATCTTTTGGTTGTGTGGGCAACTGAATGTGTCTACAGTTATCCACAATAAGACTCATTCTGAATGGATCTTATCTGCCTCA